ATCAGAGTCAAAGGTTTTTGCTTGTTTGTCTGTTTTGTCTTACAACTCTGTAACTTTCTGCATTTACCTTTGAAATTGTTTTTCTTTAGTGAAATGGATCACAAGTATCGTTTCACATTGACTTGTGATCATATTAATATTTGATATTTTTGACAAATTTACCCAAAATCACATTCTAAAGTCTTTTTGACCTCCAACTTAACTTGGGATTTTCCAGAGGACCAGTGAAACATCTCTATAATATTTTCTCTTTCCTTAAAAAAAGAGAGAGAAGGAGAGGGAGAGAATAATTAGGTTTACTTGATATATCAAATTACATGGGAAGCTTTGTCAAATAAGAAGTGATCTTTAACCTTTTTAAGTTATATTTGTAGGGTGCATGTTACTAATGCAAATGTTCCACAGATTATATGGCATTCCTAGAAAAGTATGTCCTAATACAATGCTGTGTGTGTGCACTCAGTCATGTCTGACTCCTTGTGATCCCATGGATGCTAGCCTGCCAGGCTCCTCTGTCTGTGGGATTTCCCAGGCAAGAATACTACAGTGGATAACCACTTCCTCCTCCAAGGGATCTTCCCAACCCAGGGATCAAACCTGAATCTCCTGCATTGGCAGGCGTCTTCTTATACCACTAGTGCCGCCTGGGGAGCCCCAGTATAATGTTATCAGTCATAATTCTAGTTATTATCTTAAAATGTTGTATGTCTCAGAAATAATCACAGTTTATTGTCTTTTGTATTATATGAAACTCTTATTAGGGCTTCCCTGATGGCTCGATGGATAAAGAAATCATCTGCAACACAGGAGATGTGGGCTCAGTCCTTGGCCAGAAAGATTCCCTGAAGGAGAAAACGGGAACCCACTCGAGTATTCCTGCCTGAAAAGTTCACGGACAGAGGAGCCTGGTGGGATACAGGCCAAAGGGTCCCAAAGAGTTGGACATGACTGAATAAGCAAGCACACAAAAACTCTCATCAGGTCTTTGACCATGGCCATTTTAAAGACTTTTGTCATTTACAGAGACATTTATTCTGATGCTTTTGCAGAAGTGTTTATTTTCAAGGAGATTCATAGAAAGAATGCTAACAAGTACAGGTTTGTGATAACTAACAGCATATCACTGAACTGAGTAAAACTTTCCAAAACTCTTATAGAGAAACTGATGGATCCATAAAATGGTTAACACAAGGTCACACAGAAGAAAAATTAAGTATGTGGAACTGATGAGTTATAATTGTTTATTACTTTCTCTTTAAAATACTGCTGGTTCCTTAACGTTTTGCTCTCCATATTTAAGGAAACTGTTTTCTCTTTTCTCTTCAGCTATCTATGTCTTAGAGCAATTTGGTAAAGTATACCTTTATGAACAAAGATGAAATAATTACTTTATCTTCCTACCTGATTCCTCCAAAACTTGAAAACTCTTAGTGACTATTTTTATTTTTCTGGCAATATAATTATTTGCATAAGTTCAATAAGAATCTGCTCTTCTTTAACATGACACAGTTGGAAACCTTGGTTATATTACCAAGGCTTTGACTAGAATGTCGTGTTTGAGAATGTGCGTGGAATTATATGTGACCAGACAACTTTAAGGAACTAAGGCTGGCTTTGTGGAGCCAATGAAGTCCCTTAGAAACAGTGGCCTGGTATCTTGCTTACAGGATTCCCAGTGACTTTACCAGGTGGGTAAGGAAAGTCACTTCCTGGCAGGTGCAGAAATCTCACGATATTTGGGGGACCTAAAGAAGAAAGACATTAACTCAAATCGATGGGAATTTTACAAAAAGTCTGATGGCAATCCTTGGCTTGTCTTCCTAGCCTGGGGAGAGGATTAGAAAAGTCTCATCCGAGGTTCCTTATGAAAAGTTCCAGCAAAGAGGACATTAAAAGAGCCTATATGGTCATCACTATTCTTGCTGAGCTTATGTAAATAATCAGGCCAAGTTTAATGTAACTAGACTTATTTCATAAATGAATTAGTCTTCGGCTGTCTCTGATAGAAATGAGGGTGATTGTATAGAAAAAATATGGAAAATCATTGGAAAATCATAACACACTTTGTGGATATCAGATTCTAGTCTTATTCATTGTCTTTGAGTTTTCATTATCCACCTATACACTGGACTGGATCCTAAATTCTTTTAGTTTCTTTCAATATCTGGCTATAATTCCCCAGATTAAGGTTTCCAAATTTTTCTTCCACCCTTCTTCTGATTTGGAATCATTAAGAACTAAAACTTCCCCTTTTCTAAAACTGGACAAGCTAAAGCTAGGCAACTTGATATAAATTTTAGAGAAAACACCACAATAGCTCATGTTAGACAATCAGTTCCTGTTGCTGTGTGAACCTCTCAGAAAGTTCAGCAGAACACTTATGACTTTTCCAGAGACATTCAAGCTATGAAGCAGAAAACTCTGTCAGGTTACCATTCCCGGCTCTCACTCCATCTGACTTGGAGTTTCAACAACTAGAAGACTTCTCAGTTAGAAACCTTCTCAACCGGCCACCCTCGGGACTCAAAAACTGAGTTCATAGTTCATTCTAGCTATTAACTTTTTGTTTGTTTTCATGCGAATGCCCAGGACTGAGAGACTGATTCAATGGGTTATTGGACAACTTATGCGCTCAGTTTCTGGACTGTGAAACTTCTTCAGGGAAGTTTCAGACAGAAGAATAATGGGGTTGAGGACACACTACCCCAAAATATGGCACCTTGGCACATTAATATCTTAAGCTGAAGGAGTCTGAGAAGACGACAGAAGCAGAATGTTCACTCAGACCTTCCCTACCCTCTCACCCCTCTTCCCTGAAACAAGTCATATAACACCCAGGTGAGAGGTACCATCTCTGAGCCAGGAGGAAACAGTCTTATTACCAGAGTCTGAAATTTGGGGTCAAGAAATCTGTACTAATAAACCTTTGTCTTCCTAGTTACTTCTTCACCTTTCTCTATCCTAACCCAAATCTCTCTGTCTTAGTCATTCTTCACAATTTTATTACTTTGTCTAAAAAGTTTAGAAGCTTGGTGTTTTAGTCACATGTTCGGGTCTTCATTCTCATATGAAAATCACCATATACATGTAAAAATTCAATATAATTTGTATGCTTTTCTCACATTAATCTGTCATCAGTTTAATTCTCAGACCCAACCAGGGATGCTAAGAGGGCTGAGGAAAACCTCCTTCTCCTCTACAAAATAAATCTTGGTGACCTAAATTTCCACTCTAGAGCTTCAGAAGTTACAAACTTGTACAGGCCCAAATTTGGTCTGCAAGATGTGTTTAAATGAGAACTAATTGCCAACATTTTATAATTGTAAGTGTTACTTAAAGACTCTGTATTTCCACTTCCTGTTGAAAGCTGAGAATTATTGCCCAATGTTGTAGCGGTATCCATTGGTTGGATCTGAGTAGCTGTTCCCTCTCCTCCTTAAATACAAAATTTGCTCTAATGTCTACACCTCACATATTTCATTGCTATCAAATATTTGGCGTCTGGGAGTACATCAGTTGGGATCCCTATTCTAGATCATACTTTGAAAGAACCAAGCAGGGGATCCAAGGAATTCTTTCTCCCTTCCTCCTGCTCTTCTCACTGAGAGGCCAGTCATCTCATGCAATATCAATTATAAGACAGTACCAAAACGCTACACTATTTCTAGCATCAATTTGAGCTGGAGATGGTAAAAATGAGTTAAGGCAAACTGAACACATGGATTTTTATTAGATACCTAATGGTACAAACATTTATTATCTAGAAATTTCCTGAGTATCATGCATTAAAATTTACTTGAATCCATTGCTTCACCTAAACAATTCTGAAAACTTTTCTGTATTATCATACCAGCAATTACTGAGGTTTTTTTGAGTCAACTGGTTAAGAAAATAGACCCACAGAGGGAACATATTTCAGTCTTCTAACTCTTCCTCCACAAGAGGCACAGTGGTAAATTAAACAGCTAATTCAATCTTTCAAAAGCAACAGTCAAGGAAAGCAAGCCACACAATCTTGTCTGCACATTTAAATTTGATTGCACCTGGGACCAGCTAAGTCAGGGTCTCTGGAGGTGGGATTCTAACACCAAGCTCCCAGATCATCGCAGTGTACAGCCACTGTGTAGAACCACTGTTGCAAAGAATGCCTCCAAGACCTCTGGTAAAGCTCCTCCTAGTTAGTGAATCATATTCTCTTTGAGTCACAAGTGACTTATCTATAAAAAAGGAATAGCAATAATATAATTCACTGAGTAAATGTGAACGAACTGTGAAGTGTTATGCAAATATGAATAAATGATAATGAACATGAGGAGGGGAAGTTGGATAATGGTGGAAATACAGGAGCCCAGCACCTACTTGTTGAGCATAAGCTTAGAAAATGTGGTTGTATTATTCTCTCTTGATTCTATTTTAATTATTTTTAAAGTTCCAATTTAAAAATGTACATAATACATACAGGGATAAATCTCACGCTGCTTGGAAGGAACCAGACACAGAAGATGAATACTCTGTGATTCCATTTATATAGAATACAAACTAATCTATGATGATAAAAAGCAGATTAAAGATTAATCTTTTGGGGATGATGGAAATGTTCCATCTCTTGACTATGATGGCAGTTTCATGCGTGGAGTTAACTGTCAAAACTCATGGAATTTTGCACTTTTAATTGAAGCCATTTACTGTTTGTAAATTAGCCTCTGTAAACTTGATAAGGGAAAAAACAGACTCACAGAAACCCAGTTAGGAAGAGGTAGTATTATATTCTAATTCCAAGTATCTTTAAATCTTGAATTTCTAGAAGAATATAAGCAGAACAAAAGTGGAGGAAAAGTGTATGCAAAGTGGAAGATAATTTTTGTGGAAGGAAACTCTTGGACCCTGAAATGAAAGGATCATGGAAAGGGTACAATTGTGTCAGTATCTTTGTGTTTCTGAGCGAGAGGAGAGAAAGTCAGAGCCCACTCAACTGTTCTCAAAACACTATTTGCTCTTACCATGTATTTTTTGCTGCAGTTTTCACTCTGGCAACATTTATAGTTGTTGTCATTCTCCAATACAAGAAGAAGTGCTGCTACTACAAGCATCTATAGTAAGGAAGAGAAAAAATATAAGAAATGGAATATCAGTTTGCATTCAAGCTCATAACCAAAACTCGATGTTTCAGAGCATAGACTCTGGGATCTGGTAGACCTGGGTTCAAATCCCAGCTCTTCCACTTAATAGCTGTGTAAACTTGAGAGTCCTTTCCTATAAAATGGTGCTGAGAAATCACTTCTTTAGATTATTATAAGGTATTGCATGTAAAATTTTAAATAGAGTGCTTGATTTATAACAAGTGACTGATAAATATTAGCTATTATTATCATGGTTATCAACTATGAAAGGCTAATGATTGGACTGCCCTGGCAGTCTAACGGTTGGGAATCTGTCTGCCAATTCAGGGAACATGGGTTTTATCCTGGCTCTGGGCAGATTCCACATGGCCCAGGACAACTAAGGCCATGGGTCTCAATGTGAGAGGCCATTACTATGAGAAGCCTATGCACTGCAACAAGAGAGTATCCCCCACTTGCCACAAGTAGAGAAAGCATGCACGTCGCAAGGAAGACCCAGCACTGCTGCTGCTGCTGCTGCTAGGTCGCTTCAGTCGTGTCCTCTGTGCGACCCCGTAGACAGCAGCCCACCAGGTCCCCCGTCCCTGGGATTCTCCAGGGAAGAACACTGGACTGTGTTGCCATTTCCTTCTCCAATGCATGAGAGTGAAAAGTGAAAGTGAAATCGCTCAGTCGTGTCCAACTCTCAGCGACCCCATCGACTGCAGCCCACCAGGCTCCTCCGTCCATGGGATTCTCCAGGCAAGGGTACTGGCACAGTAAAAATTAAATAACTAAAATTTTAAAAATAAATAAACAAAACTTTAAAGAAACAATGATTAAGTAGGAATAAATAGTATGGACATGAGATTACCATTCTCTGTAGCAAACCTACACTTCTTACTGACTCGGTTGTAGAACAAAGGAAAACCATCCTCCAGACCTTGGCATTTTCCAACCTCTTTCCACTTTCTGCCCTCTGAGAAGGCAGGTGAAAGGTATGGTTAATCTGAAACTAAATCTCTTAATCCAAAGAAAAGTACATTCAGATCATCTCAGATTTAGATTTTCCAACGTTATTTTGCCTGTATCAACAAACTGGGAGAATTCAGTGTATTCTACTTCCCTCTCTTGATATCTTAGGCAAAAGATTTAAGTTCTGGAAAGAACATGGATTTCTTTATATTACAGTTATTGGTTAGGCCAAGTATGAGTCGTGAATTGTTTCTGGCAAATTCTCCACCTATCCTTTTCTCCCACTGTTCAGTACTGAATCTTGCAGCGGAGTTAGCCCATTGTTATTTTACTGCTTGGAGTGAGCATTCCCAGTTTCCAAATTCCTTCAGCCCATCATTTATTTACCTATGCACTTAATTATTTATCTATACTCCTCTCTTTTCTCCTAAAAGAATTTGCTCTTGAAAGAGTGTTTTTCAAGAAGTCATAAACAGTGAAAAATAGAAAATAGGTTCTTTTCACAGTTTTTAATTTTACATGGACTATAAGCAAAAGTTAGTCCTACACTCCCCTTCTTTCAACACCGTTAGTCATCACAGTTTCAAAGAGATTCTGAAAGATTATTATTAACTTTAATAATGCCTTGCAAGGCTCCTGTTTATTACAATTATATATTGAGAGAAAGAATGGCAAGATGAGACACAGTAAACTAGGTGCCAAAACCAGCTTCGTTACAATACTGTTAGAAATAATTAAACCTAAACCCTGGAGTCCTGTGTAAAAGCAGAAACACAGGCATGTTCTGTGTTGAAAGAGAAACTGCTTTCTCTTTTTGTTGTAAAGTATAACTGCAGTACAGTGGACTCAAGAATAATGGAGGAAAATCACCAAAAATTCCACTGCTTTCTCATGTTTTAACTATTTACTCCCACATGTGTGTATCTTATATAGCTGCAACCATAATGTATTCACAATTTTGTTATATCTGTTTTCCTTAACACAGAATAATATGCACTTGTCCATGTTGTTACATGTTCATAATTACAACTTTCATCAGTTATGAAATTAACAGACCATAATTTATTTGGCCATGTCTATACTATGATGCTTCTAGCTTTTTGCTATTGTAAATAATGCTGACAGGCTACAGTCCACGGGGTCGTAAAGAGTCGGACACAGTTGAGGTGACTGAGCACATGCATGCAGATCGTGCTGCCATAGGCATCTGTGTATACATTTCTTTCCTTATTTTGGATTATCTCCTCAGAATGAATTCTCAGATTTAGGATCACTGAGTCAAAAGACATAAGCGTTTTCACAGATCTTAATATATCATATCATATCTCCAAAAGGCTTACATTTATTTATAGTATCGCCATCAACATCGATTATATATCTAGCATATAGCACCTGCAGTAGCACTGGGTATTAATAATTCAAAGTTTATTAATTTAATGTGAAAGTGGTAACTAAATGACACCATTTTTCAGCATAGCTATTCAAATATTACAAAATTAAACACCCACAAAGGTGTAGAGATAGACTACAGTGGATTTTCTTTTCTGTTATTATTAGTATAGGAAAGTTACAGCACACAATGTGTGAGTTTTTAGAAATGATATGACCAGGAAAAATGTCTTTTCCTCTGAATTGCCAACATGATTTATTATCAGTTTGTTTTTAAACAGCACAAAGTCATCAGGAAAACGTTTATGGATTCTTACTGTAGATACCTTGATTTAGTTTTCAAAAGCACCCACTATCATTAGGGGTATAATGTCAGACAATTTAATGATGGTACGGCCCATCCTTCATTCAGTATTAATAATCACGATAGTCACTGGCTGCCTACAACATGTCAGTCTCTATCCTGGGCATTTCGTACATGAGATTTTATTTAATCCCCACAATTTCCCTGAAAAGTAAATGTCATCATTCACATTCTTCAAATGAGGACACAGAGGCCCAAAGACATCAAGTAGCTTGCTTTAAAGTCTCATGACACAAATGGCAGAGCTTAAGCTGGAACTCAAGTTTGTCTGAATCTTCAAGTTTATGCCTTTTCCATGGTCTCCATACCCCTCCAAGCTAGCAAAACCATGAGTGTAAACAGAAAATCCATTCTGGAAAAGGGCAATGCTACTGGAGATTAAATAGCATAGGTTCATATACAACTTTCATGAGGACATAATATTATGTCCACAGCTTTCATGAGGACATAATATTTCTACGACCCACCAACTTTTAATAGGACTAATTTCCTGCATTGCTGGAGCTATATAAATAAGCATTTTATTGAAAACAAAGCGACCTTCCAAGTCCTCACAGACTTCCTGCCTTTTTATCCCCATCCATCTTCCAAATCCCAAACCCAGGACTCATAGAATGATTTTCCCATGATTCATCATTTTCACTAGGAACAAGTTAATTCTTAGTAAAAACTCCCCTTCAGCAATCCCAAGTTCTCCAAAGTTACACTTACCATGATACCTGAGAAACAGATTCCTTCAAAATACCAGACGTAGTTGGTGAGTTTATTGCTGGATGCATAGGAAGCTTGCCCATTGGGGAAATACAATAATATGTTCACAATTATGCTCCAAAGTGCAAGAGGAATCAGCAAACTACTCAGGCAGCTTCCGCATTTCCGAGACCCCATCCTACCCTGCTCAGAACCTGCGGAGATTTCAAGAGTGTAGAATTACATCAAGCCTGTTTTGTTTTGTTTGCCCCCACCTGGCTTTTTTTTTTTTTTTTTCCGAGATTACCTACCACTTTCTGGGTCAGAGCCCTTCAGTTCATATTCATGAGGAGCCAGGACTCGGACAGAAACGCAGCCCAGGATCTTGTCGATGTGGAAATAGTGGTTTACTGTCTGGAGAACAATCAACAAAGATCGACTGGCTGAGGAGCTGAGCTGGTCTTCCTCCTGTGCCAAAGGAATGCGATGCTTCCACCGCTTTTTAAAATAAGTCATTTTCCTCTGAGTTGGAGCGCTCAAGACGGAACCCTGAGAGTATTTGCAGAAGGAAGTTGGGGTGGGGGTTGGAATTGAGTCTGGCAGGTTTCATACCAAGCAAAGGACAGGGCTTAACGAGGAAACGACCAGGGATCTTATACTGGCACGGGATGTGCAATTTGCTCAAGTATTCTGACTCTATGTATCTGCCTTTTATTTAGTATTCTTTTTGTTTCTCTTTGCTCGCTATTCACCAAGCACTGTTTGAACTACAGGGGACATAAAAGGACAAAGAAAGGGGCAAATTGGTGGCTGAAAAAAAACAAGATATCACAGTTGATGAGTTTATTGGTGGAAGACGGAAACAGCTTTCCTCTTAAGAGTTCACATCTTTATCTCTCCTTCTCTGAGAAATAATAACAGGAATAAATTCATATCTCTTACTGTCTTGGAAAAGGAGGTTAAAAAAAGTTGGGTGATTTGATTATCATTTTATGAGTAATAAGTCTGAAGTGAATTGAGGAATGCTCCCTTCCAAATTATTGCCCTAAATATAAAGAACCACAGACCTCTCTAATTCTGAGGACATAAGGAGAAGGTTATGGGAAGGAACCTTGGCACTAATATGTTAAATATAATGTAGACAGTGGTTTAAAGAATTCAAGGTTTGGGAATTCCCCAGTGGTCCAATTGTTAGGACTCTGCCAAGGGCTTGGGTTCAATCCCTGGTTGAGGAACTAAGATTTCACAAGCTGTATGGTGCAGCCAAATAAAACGAAACAGAAGAATTCAAGGGTTGCCTGACCTCATTGCCACTGTTCCTACTGGTAGCCTCAGAACACTGCTCGCCAACTTTCTTAAGTCTCAACTTCCTAATCTGTGAGATGGGAATTAAAAAACGGTGCATTTCCCACAAAGATAAATGTGTGGGTTAAAGGAGATTATATGTGCAGAACAGTGTCAGATGATAGAGATGAAGCAAACAATAAATGGAAGTTATCATTAATAATGAAAACAGGAGTTACAGGAACACAACAGCAAAAATGGCACAGAAATCAGAAATAAAGTCTGTTTATTTCTCTTGATACCCAAAGAGTTTTGATTCATGAAACCTTAAAATGTTGATCCCAGAAATATTTATGTTTAATTTATTATCTTTTGGAAAGTATTAATTCTCTAGAACATATTTGCTTTTAATTCAAGAGAAAAAAACTTATTTTATATAAATATTTAAAATTTTACTGTACTTACACTTTTTTTAAAAAGCCGAGCTACATGGAGCCACATTTGGATTCAAACAAAACAAACCCAGAAACTAGTTGTCTTAAACGATAATATTGTTGTTGTTTCCCTAAGGCATGTCTGATTCTTTTATGACCCCGCGGACTATAGCCGACCAGGCTCCTCTGTCCAAGGGATTTCCCAGGCAAGAATACTGGAGTGGGTTTCCGTTTCCTTCTCCAGGGGATGTTCCCGACCCAGGGATGGAACTCAGGTCTCCTGCTTGGCAGGCAGATTCTTTACCACTGAGCCACCAGGGAAGCCCCCAATATCAAAATTGCATCCAAGCTAAGTCGCTTCATTTGTGTCCAATTCTTTGCAACCCTATGGACTGTAACCCACCAGGCTCCTCTGTCAGGTTTCAACATTAATAATGTTTATTCTATAGACATTATTAAATCATTGGCAATTAGTTGATATGTCAGTCTCCAGCCCCTTTTCCCTCCCCAGAGGTTGCAGAATGGGGTTGAAATTTCTGACCCTCTAACCAGATCTCTGGGATTAGTTTTGAATAGAAAAATGACTTGGCATGTTAAAAGGTTCACTCTAGCTGTTGCATCATGATGAGGTTATAAAGGGTGTGGGTGAAAGAAAGAGATGAATTCTGAAGCCATTTCACCAATCCAGTGTTCCCACCAATGACAGTGGTTCGAACAATGATCGTAGTAGAAGAGATGGTGATAAAAGGCTGGGTTCTGTCTATATATTGAAGATAGATCCAACAGTATTTGGGCACACTGGCTGGAAGAGAAAGAGAGGAATCAAAGACGACCATGTGGTTTGGGGCCAGAGAAACAGGAAGAATGAAGCTGCCATTTACTGAAATGAGCAAAACAGCAGGTTGAGCAGGTTTGAGAGGGGAAGAGAAGATGGTTAGTTTCAGACTTCTCAAGTTCTGAGACACTTCTTAGAATCCAAGTGGAGATGCCAATCAGGCTGTTGGATACACAAACATGAAGTTCAAGGAATAGGTCTGGGGTGGAGTGTGATAGTTGTCAGTGTATGGACAGTATCTGAAGGCACAAAACTCTGGGGGTGAATGTAGATTAGAAAAGAGGTTCAAGGACTAGGTCCTGGGGAGTCCAGAGAATTGAGTGTGGGGATGTGAAGGGGGAATCAGCGAAGGAGGCTGAGCAGTGGCCAGGGAGTCGGAAGACCCGGGAACTTATCCTGGGAGTTGAATTCCTAAGTTGAGAAAGAAGTGGTCAGTTAGAGTTAAGACTGCCTATAGAGCAAGCCGAGTTGGAGGGCTGAGAAGTGGGTGTTGGCTTTAGCAACACAGAGGTCATCAGGGAGCCTGATAGGAGGAGCTTCGGTGGTACACAGACGCTGAGTCCAGATGGAATGGGTTCACGAGGGAATAAGAAAGGAGAAAGTGGAAGCAGAGAGAAGAGAGAGCACTTTTTGGAGAGTTTAGCTGAAGGGAAAGTAGGAGTCAAGGGAAAAAGTTTAAAGGGAAAAATTATAGCACATTTGTATACTGGTAGGAATTTTTTGTTGGGAGTGGTGGAGGGGAGGGGAGCACAAGAGAAAAATGGGAGAACTGATAGAGTGGTGTTTATTTTTTTTATTTATTTGGCTGCACCAGGTCTTAGCCATGGAAGACAGGCTCTTTGTTGCCTCACGTGAGACCTTTCGCTGAGGTGCAGACTGTCCAGATGTGGCGAGTGGACTCAGTAATTGGGGCGCATGGGCTTAGCTGCTCCACGGCAGGTAGGACCTTAGTTCCCTGACTAGGGATTGAACTGTGAACCCTGCACTACAAGACAGAGTCGTCGTCACTGGACCACAGGTAAGTCCCTGGAGCAGTGTTCCTGACTCAGCGGGAAGCAGCAGGAGTGTCTGCACAAATGGAGGAACTGGCCTAAGCCAGCAGCCTGGCTGGTTCATTCTTAGTAACAGAAGTAAGACGAAGCATGTGGGATTGGAAGTGTGGGAACTTCTGAGGGTTCCTGCGTTTCCAGTGAAACTGGAAGCAGGCTTATTGGTTGAGAACGAAGATGGAGAGAGGGTATTACAGGTTTTTAGAGAGAGAGGAAGGTATGAAACTGTTCCCTAGGAAAGCGAGATGGTGAAAGGTCTAGAGAGAGGTGGCAGATGCCAGCAGGCACGGAGGGCCCACTTAAGGTTAAGAGTTTATAGTGAGACTAGACGCATGGTCAAGTGCTTTTCCCAGGGCAGTGCGAGTGCAAAGGCATGGGCAGAGAGTGCTAAGAAAGCTGGAATCAGCCAGGATTTGGACTTTGCCAGGCAAACATATAAAGAGAGAGAGAAATGGGGAAAAGGAATCAAGAAAATATATGAGAGTGATTATAGTGATCAACTATGGAATCTAATCCAAGGAAGGAGGGAAGTAAGGACATGAAAGAATCTGAGCAACAGTTTAAAAAAAAAAAAAAAAAGGAAGAAGGCTGGATTTGTGTGTCCTAGTGGAGTTGAAGAATTATCGGTTTGGGGTAGTAAAGAGATAAAGAGCTGAAAAGATAGAAGGTAGTGATTGAGATGAAAAGATGCTGGAATTTGAAATTAAGATGTTTCAGTATTCAGCAATAGGAATGTATTTATTACTACTGAATTATATAGCTCAGTTCAGTTCAGTTCAGTCGCTCAGTCGTGTCCGACTCTTTGAGACCCCATGAATCGCAGCACGCCAGGCCTCCCTGTCCATCACAAACTCCTGGAGTCTACTCAAACCCATGTCCATCGAGTCAGTGATGCCATCCAGCCATCTCATCCTCTGTCATCCCCTTCTCCTCCTGCCCCCAATTCCTCCCAGCATCAGGGTCTTTTCCAAGGAGTCAGTTCTTTGCATCACGTAGCCAAAGTATTGGAGTTTCAGCTTCAACATCAGTCCATCCAATAAACACCCAGGACTGATCTCTTTTAGGATGGACTGGTTGGATCTACTTGCAGTCCAATGGATCCTGAAGAGTCTTCTCCAACACCATAGTTCAAAAGCATCAATTTTTCGGTGCTCAGCTTTCTTCACAGTCCAACTCTCACATCCATACATGACCACTGGAAAAACCATAGCCTTGAGTAGACGGAGCTTTGCCGGCAAAGTAAGGTCTCTGCTTTTTAATATGCTATCTAGTTTGGTCATAACTTTCCTTCCAAGGAGTAAGCATCTTTTAATTTCATGGCTGCAGTCACCATCTGCAGTGATTTTGGAGCCCAAAAAAATAAAGTCTGATGCTGTTTCCACTGTCTCCCCATCTATTTCCCATGAGGTGATGGGACCAGATGCCATGATAGAGACATGGTTAAAATAGTATGTTTTATATTATGTGACTTTTACCATTAAAAAAAAAAGATGTTTCAGTATTTGGTGAAGACAAAGTCTAGAGGTGTATTTTGGGTTGAACTGTGTTCCTTTGAAATTCATATGTTGGTCCCCATAACCTTAGAATGTGACTATATTTGGAGAGAAGGCATT